CTCATGCATCCACTCCCCCCATCCCCCCCAGATCAACAACTGCCTGCACTAATGTAGCGCTAAGCTAGCATAGTACAGATGTGTCTCTCCCTCCTTCCCCCACCACATCAAGTGAGCTGGGAGAACAATTGCATGCAGTGTGATGAGTTTTTGTAAGTAATCAGGAAATCCCGTAGTGGACTTTTAGTGGTTTGAGTATTCTCTTGTGAATCAAGTGGAATGGATTCGTTCATGAAGAAATAGGAACAGCGCTGGGTGAACTAATATTTCATGGTAATTGTGGGGGGGTCCAAACTAATATTTTTTAAATGTGAGGGGGGCATGTCCTCTTCAAATATAATTGTTGCGACACCTATGGCCCAACTAGACAACAAATGGCTAAAATTGACATAAAAAACCTTTTTTTCCCTTTGGAAAATGTCTGCTGTGTAACACACCAGGGCTCACAGGACTTTTAATCTGTCTAAAAGATGAAAAAGATCACACACCTGCACAGAACTGGTCTAATTTACAATACATATTCTGGTTTTTTTTTTATGCCAACTTTAATGTCAGGGGTAATAAAACTAACATACAACTGCACATCTTCCACATACGAGAGGAAATCTCTTCCCTGCCCCTGAACTCCTTCATTTAAATGTGCATTTTCAAGAACAAGCACTTCCCACCTCTTGAGAGGGCGCTGATGACTAGGGCAAAGTTCTCCTTATATATGTTTTTTTATGGGAGGAATCTCGGATAGATCTGAGAGGAAACCGCCAGCAGGTTTATGCAAATACAAATAGATTTTTTTTTTTTTTTTGTTGGTGAGCGGTGCAGCAAAAGAAATATGAAGCAATAAATAAAACCTTTCTATTCGAGATAAATATATAACAGATGTTATAGGTGTGGGCTGAGGGCTATATTTGATCGTTGGTGCTTTTGAAAAACAGTTTTTATAGAAAATAGTCATTGTGAAAGTCCTCATAATAAAGTTTATAGAGCAACATAAAAACCCTGCCCAATGTAATAGACAATACCATTAAATGTGGAAGTTCTGGAGCTGCACAAGATAATGGGAAAATGAAAATGCATCTATATCGTTAGACTATTTTTTATTTGAATTTGCAAAAACAAAAGTATTTTCCTAAAACTTATCCATGTTGCAACTAGTTGAGGTTGTGACAGTTACACTTTGAGAGAATTGTCCCTTTTTAGCGTCATAATAAATGTTTCTAAATTAACTGAATTAAGTTTTTGATGAATGCAGACATAACCCAATCTGCATGAATTAAATTAGACAATAAATTGGAAATACTATGACGTAAACAAGTAAAAAAAACAAGATTTTTTTATTACATTTTATTAAATGCTAGAAACATCTAAAATGCGGTGGATCAGAGAGGTATTTGACACTTCACCCAATCTTTTAGGTCCCCTAGCTTTTAGATTGGAAGTCAAAATGTTTTAGTTGCCCCTTTTATTCTCGTTTCGTTTTGTAATAATTGTAAAATGTAGTTTTTTTTAAACACAAATCAAGGCACAAGTTAAAATAAAAAGTGTCTTGCAGAAGCATTTTCAATTTTATGGCTGCTTTCTAATAAGTCACTTTGACTAAATGCACCCCGAGGAATCTCAAGAAAAAGAACTACAAGATTCAGGAACAACGTTTCCCATCAGCCTTCTGTCAGCTGAACTCTGCTCCTTCCAGGCCCCATTCTCTTTAACAACCCCCTTCTGGACTAAACTCATCTCAAACTCTCTGCCTTTTGACACAATTGTACCAATAAATGCTCTTTTGTACTCAACTTGACCACTGTATATATTTGTATTCTGTATGCACAGTCACTTTCACTGCATTCATCCAGTCTACCATCTTATCCTGTTCATAGCTGTACATACCTGTGGCATTAGAGATTTATATAGACAAATATTTGTACATTATTGCACATCTCAAGGTTTAAAGTTACTTAAATACTGCTTATCATGCACTTCTGTTAAAATGAAATCTGCATTGGGTTGCCTTGGACCTGTGAAATATGCAAAGACAAAACTCAATCTACTCTAAGCTCATCACCTGTACTTTATTTTGACTTGAGCTGGGCGGTCTTTTCACTAAACCAAAATTTCGGATTTGATTCGTCAGACTCCGAGAAACTTAAGTCCACTTCAACTGAGTTTATTTGTAAAGTGTCGGTTCCACTCAGGTCTAAAGTCATCTCGGAGTGTTATTTTAAAAAGCAAAAATGCCCAATTTATATCAGATCGCCATTTTATTTGGTCCAATTCTCCTCCTCATTTTATGAACGTAGCTTTCCATGGAGGCATGCTTATTACCTGCCACCTTACATGCCAAAACAAAAGTGTTGCGCAATCTTTAGTACTTTGAGTGTATTAAAATGACTCGGCAACTACCCAGGGGCAATTCTAGATTCTGACCTTTAGGGGTGCTTAGGCCCCAGTGCTGACAATGGCTCTTGGCTTGAACACCGTGGTGACCAATGGCGTCAGAAGCATTTGTAATGTACGTGTGTGTGTGTGTGTGTATGTGGGGAGGGGAGCTGGTGGGGGGTGGCAGCATCTGTGGGTCCTCCCCCAGAAAATTTTGAATGAAGTAGATTCAATTTCCTGCATTCTGGTGTATTTTCACAAGTTGCTAAACATCTACGTTTACCTACACAAGTAAGCCTTGATTCAGCAACTATTTTAGAGTTAATGGCACAACAAGAAGTAACCTGACCAACAGCTCTCCTTGTGTGAATAGAGCACGCCCTGCTTCTCTCACGCATCTTAACCCCGCCCAATCGACAACTGTATTGTGGTGCACAATACAGATGCGTTAGCTAAGATGCTACAGACGTAGCATTCCACATCTCTCACACATCCTATCACCCCCACCCCAATCAGCTCCTGCAGGTAAGGGGCATTTCAGCTCAGGACAAATGAAGGTTGCCAACTGGTCAGTTGATGACAAGTGTACTGGATTGACTGACAGGTGGTGTCCAGGATCCGACTCGTGCAAAATATATATATATATATATATATATATATATATATATATATATA